CTCAGATTTGAAAAAAAATCAGTGGACTTTTTTTTTTTTTTTTTTTTTTTTTTACTGCTCGGCAGACCGCCGACCGGTCAGCCCAACTGGTCGGCTGCAATACGGTCGGCGGTCGGGGTCAGCGGTCGGCAGGGATGCAACCCTGAAGACCGGGAAAAAAATGTTGTGTAGAACCGCAATGCAAATGCCTTTTGGCTGAGGGTCACATCAGAATTCCTCACTGAATTGAAGATAAAAAAGGAAATGACAGAATCAGACTAAGGCACCGCCCTTTAAGCCCCTCTAGCCCGTTTAAAACCAATTTATACCCCCCTTTCCCCACCTTGACAGCCAACACTGAAAAAAAGAAAAGGGCCCGGTTTTGGGGAACCGCAATGCAAACGACTTTTGGCTGAGGGTCACATTGAAACGGTATTCACCAGTTCGCGGTAGCGAGTGCAGATCCCAGGGCTCGATCCCTAGATCCCCATCTTACCTGTGTGCAGTATCAGTGTCAACCCGTAGACTTGAACCTGCGACCTGTAGGAACGCCAGTGGTAGGCAATTTGTCGTAGGTCACAGGGTAGAAGGGAATCGAACTGTAGACCTATAGAGTAGGAGTCTAGACAKTTCCGAAGTCGTAGCTGTAGGCTGCCTGAGGAGTCAAGGTCGTAGCTGCTACTTACCTGAAAGGGCAAAGTCGTAGCTGCTACAGTACCGAAAGGCCAAGTTAGACACTTCTAGAAGTGGCCTTTCCGAGTTGGCCTTCATTCAACAGAGGCAAGTGGTCAAGTGGTGGTAGACCACTTTGCTGAGTCAATAGTCCCAGTTAGTCAGTCCGGTCCTGTCCAGCAAGTACCGTCTGGGACTGTGTGCACATCGTGGACCAAGGGGTATGGGGCAGACCAACGCAGCGCAGAAGTATAAATCAAGAGGCTGCGTCCAGCCATTCATTCATTCCTGCGGATGCCATGCGGAAGCGCTGCCTCAGCAGCTTGTGCGAGGAGGTCTGCAGTGCGCCCGAAGTCGAAGTGGGCAGAGGAGTGTAGTGTAGCGATAGAGTAGTGGCAGCTAGCGCTGCCATAGCCGTAGCCTGGTGTGTGTGTGTTGCGTACGAACACTGAGTGTTGCGTGTGGGATATCCAGGGTGATCTCGAGTGTGAACAGTGAGTTGTATGGGCGCACAGTCGCCATAGTCAGTGGATGCGAATTTACCTGGAAGACATACCTTTGTGTACTGTGTGGGCGCATGTCGCCAGTTGTGTGTTGCTGTTCACGTGCATGAAAAGAGTGAATAAGTCGAGTCAGATTGCAACATCAGAATTCCTCACTGAATTGAAGATAAAAAAAGAAATGACAGAATCAGACTAAGGCACCCTCCTTTAAGCCCCTCTAGCCCGTTTAAAACCAATTTATACCCCCCTTTCCCCACCTTGACAGCCAACACTAACAAAAAGAAAAGGGCCCAGATTTGGGCCCCTCTGGGCATGTGAGAAGACCTCCAACCATCAAAAAACAAAAACAAAAAAAGACCCCCCTTATTCCCATGCCCGGGTACCCTGTGCGTCAGACCCCCAGGCGACACGACCGGGCTGGCCCAGCCGGGCGTGGCAATCTTCCTAGTTATAAACGTTTGGAATTGGCTAATAATAATAGCAACAGGTCTAGGACACCTGAAGCATGTCCTCGTATTCCTAAGGGTAGCACACCTTTTTGCTTCTAATATTCAGCCATTCATCTACCAGGACTGGTCAATGCCTTGTTAACCACAGCAGGCTGGCCTGTTTCGAACTCCCATCGTTTTCAAGTACCTCAACTAAGTTGGGCCTTTTTAAGCCTTAGCCAGTACCCAAGCTTTGCAGTGTACTCAGAAATATTGTAGTGCCTAACTCTGCCTCGTCATTCCAGCTCTGTCCATCTGTACTTGCCGGTGCCATTCAGCCGGATCTTTTTTTTTTTTTTTTTTTTTTTGAAAAAAAAAGGGCAACGACCTTGAGATGAAATCGGTGAACTGACCAGCCCCAGGTAGGTAAGTTTTTTGTTTTTTTTTCCTGTTCATCTGATTAAAAGGGCCTTTACGAATGAGACCCCAGATGAATGCCCAACAGTGAGGGGCCTTGTCTGCCAGAACTTAAGTTCACGAGCAGCAACCCAAAAGACAAGTTCCCTGAGGCATATGTCGCATCCAGGATGAGATGAAAAGTCGTTTTGAAAAGTCACAAATAGGTCCTGAACGAACAGGTATTGGACACAGTTTTTAAGACTGAGAAAGGGTCACGTCTCCTCGATGGAAACTTTGGAAAGTCATGTCTGTTCGGCAATAAGTCAAAGGCTACAGTCCCAGTCCAGTCATAATCCCACGAGTCAGCCCTGATTCAGAAGGAGTCCAAAAGACAGGCCTGATGGCCCAAAGCAGCAGCAGACCATGGGAAAAGATACTGGGACACACACTTTGCAACAACGGGTGCTGGGCAGGAGTCCCAGACACTTGAGGCTGAAAGCAGGCCACGCCAGGCCAGTCCAGCACTATAAAAGACTGGCCAGCCTCCCAATTTGGACAGATACTCACTTCGCATGAGAGTGTGGAAGTGCCGTGGCACTTGTGCGCTAGATGTGTGTGAGCTGCGCTAGGCTGAAGAGCAGCGCTATGTGGGAAGGAAGAGAGTGCTGGCTAGAGGGAAGGCAGCCATAGCTGCGCCAGCGCTAGTTAGTACATTAGTAGGGATAGTTAGTAGAAAAGTTCAGTGAGTAGTATTCAAAGTAGATCCTCGTGTGATAGGGAGTGTGCATGCATGATGAGTGGGAGTAGACCAGGACAATAGACACAGAGGGAGAGAGAGAAAAGGCAGACGAGAGAGGGGGAGGTGTGAGCTATGGTGACAATTACCTGTTGAGCGCTGTTGTTGACGTTTGGCAGCTGGCGCTGATGAGCGCCAGGCTTGGAACTCGTGTTGATCGAAGAAGATTTGTAACTCTGTTCAGCGCTACACACTTTGAACTCATGATGTTCTCTCTCTACATCTGGGTTTGATAATTGAGTTGAGCTTCCTGGTTCTCATTCATCTTTCTATTGGGTTTTGTGTGAGACTTCGCAATCTGTGAAATCAGTGTATATGCATGTGATCTGATGCACTCCAGCAAGTGATGAACAGTCGGGTTCCTTGCATGAGTGTGACTGGATTCGAACTTGGGTTGTTTTTTCAACTGAGCTAGGCGTGCTGGTACCATTCAGCCCTATCTACTTCTAGCTGTTGGCCACTTGTGGTGGGTTAGTAACTTGGCAGGCTGTTCTACACCCTCTGTCTACTATTTATGTCTCCTCTCCTACCTTCTCTTTACCTCCCTTTGTAGAGCTTTGCATTCCCTTTGTTCATGACGATCCTCTGAATGGTGGACTGATTTTCCGTCATGGTGAGAGTTGGATGTCATATGGTCTCTCTGTGTTGACTTTTTTAAGAGCAGTGCTTTTCTTATACTTGCTGTCTGATAGCACTGATGCATGGCCAGATGATGCTCTTCTCTTTCAAGGTCACCTATTTTTATAATGACAAGCAGACCCTAGGCGCGGATGCCGTGGCCCAAAGGCGGGGATGATAGGAAAGCACAGAAGAAAGATCAAGGGGAAAGAGGAGGGTAGCGGGGGGAGCAAGAAGCGAAATGCCTGTCGTGATTTCCTTCCTCAACTCATCGGCTGATCTCTACCATTCATTCCTTCATTTACACCGCACTATTGTTGTTCACCCTCACCCCCTGCTTCTTTTGATCACCTTCCTCCTCTCCTTTCCATCGCTCGCCAGCGCACGAGTGATCATATAGACAGTGTCGCCTTGTTTCATCTACCAGTGGATCGTTGAGTGATTCCAGGATGTAATCAATCATTGCCACGTTAGCAACCCACTGTGTGTGTGTGTGTGTGTGTGTGTGTGTGTGTGTGTGTGTGTGTGTGTGTGTG